CAATACCTATTAGATAAGGGTTTTATTTGACCTAGTGTTTCACCCTAGGGTGCTCCAGTGTTGTTTGTGAAGAAAAAAGATGGTTCCCTACGGATGTGTATAGATTACCGCCAATCGAATAAGGTTACTATCAAAAATAAATATCCACTGCCCAAGATAGATGACTCATTTGATCAGTTGTAGGGTGCCAGGTATTTCTAAAAAATAGATCAAAGATCGGGATACCATCAGTTAAAAATCATAGAAGCAGACATCCTGAAAACACCTTTTAGGACTCGGTACAGTCACTATGAAGTTTTAGTGATGTCCTTTGTGTTGACCAATGCACCAACAACTTTTATGAACTTAATGAACAGAGTCTTCAAGCCTTTCTTAGATACATTTGTCATAGTATTTATCGATGATATTTTGATATATTCCCGTAGCCAGAAAGAGCATGAGATTTATTTGAGAACAGTTCTTCAAACACTCAAGGACCGTCAGCTTTATGCCAAATTATCCAAATATGAATTTTGGCTCAATACAGTTACATTTTTGGGACACGTGGTCTCGAAAGAAGGCATTAAACTAGACCCACAGAAAATAGAAGTAGTTAAGAGCTGGCCTAGGCTAACAACCCCTATAGAGATTTGCAGTTTTCTAAGGTTGGCAGGTTACTACCACCATTTTGTAGAAGGGTTCTCTTCAGTAGCTTCCCCGTTGACAAAGTTAACTCAGTAAAATGTGAAGTTCCAATGGTCTGAAGCTTGTAAGAAAAGTTTTCAAGAACTCAAGAACAAGTTGACTACAGCCCCAATTCTGACTCTACCTACCCTTACAGGTAAATTTGTGCTCTATTGTGATGCTTCCAGAGTAGGTTTAGGGTGTGTTCTTATGCAGAATGGTAAGGGAATTGCTTATGCTTCTAGACAGTTAATGAATCATGAGAGAAATTACCCTACCCACGATCTTGAGCTAGCAATAGTTATTTTTGGTCTAAAAATATTGCATCACTACCTTTATGGAGAGTAATGTGACATTTATACAGATCACAAAAGTTTGCAGTATATATTCAAGCAGAAAGAGTTGAATCTGAGACAACGCAGGTGGTTGGAGTTGCTTAAAGATTATGATTGTAATATCCTTTACCATCCCGCAAAGCGAATATGGTTGTTGATACTCTGAGCAAAAGATCCATGGGGAGTTTGACCAGTTTGTGTGTGGTCGAACGTCCAATAATTAAGGAAGCCCAACAAATAGCTAGCCAAGGGGTTCGTCTCGATGAGAAGTATGATGGAAGGTTGTTATCAAGTATGGGTGATAAGTCTACTTTAGTAGAGTAAGTTAAAGCCAAACAATTTGATGACCATAGCTTGCTTAAGTTCAAGGAAGGTGTCCTTAGTGGCAAGATTAAGAATTTTGCACTTGATGAGAATGGTGTGATGAGACTTGATAGCCGCTTATGCGTGCCAAATGTAGAAGATCTTCGAAGGGAAATTATGGTAGAATCTCATAGCTCCAGATATTCAATATATCCAGGTTCTACTAAAATGTATCATGATTTGAGGGATATTTATTGGTGGAATAATATGAAGCGAGATATTGCAGATTATGTATCACAGTGCCTTATCTGGCAGTAAGTAAAAACTTAACACTAGAGTCCAGGTGGCTTAGCTCAAGTCATTGAAATACCAGAATGGAAATGAAATAGAATAAATATGGATTTTATGGAGGGCTTGCCGCGAACTTTTAAGAAACATGACTCCATTTGGGTCATAGTAGACCGACTCACTAAGTCAACTTACTTTTTGCCAGTCAAAACAACCTACACGTTAACTTAGTATGCAACATTATACATAAAGGAGATTGTTCGGTTGCATGGTTCTCCCATGTCTATTATTTCTGACAGGGGTGCACAGTTTACTGCCCAGTTCTGGCAAAGTTTTCAAGAAGGTTTCGTGTAACGACCCAGCCGGTCGTTTTAAGAGTAATAGCCCCTTTTTTCCCCATTTCTGCTTCCTTTTTATGCTTTTCAGCTGTATTATGATATATCGGGTTAGTTGGTTCGGGTCCAGAGTGGTTTCGGAGTGGATTGAGACCCTTAGTCTCTTATTTAGAAGCTTAAGTTAGAAAAGCCAACCGGATGTTTACTTATGTGTAAATGAATTCGGAATTGAATTTTGATATTTTCATTAGCTTCGTTAGGTGATTTTGGACTTTAGGAGCACATCCAGAATATGATTTGGAGGTCCGTAGTGGAATTAGGCTTGAATTGGCGAAAGTTGGTAATTTGGCGATTTTGGTTGGCAGTGGAAAATTTGATATCGGGGTCGGAATGGATTTCCAAAAGTTGGAGTAGGTTCATGGTGTCATTTGTGACGTGTGTGTAAAATATGAGGTCATTCAGACGTGGTTTGGTAGGTTTCGGCGTCGTTTGTGGAATTCGAAAGTTTAGAAGTTCTTAGGCTTGAATCCAAGGGTAATTTGGTGTTTCAATGTTGTTATGCATGATTCGAAGCCTCGACTAAGTTTGTATGTTAATATATGACTTGTTGGTATATTTGGTTGAGGTCCCGAGGGGCTCGGGGTGATTCCGGGTGGTTAACGGATTGTTTGAAGTTTGAAAAATACTGCTGAAGTTGCTGCTACTGGTATTTTTGCACCTGTGGAGTTCGAAGGTGTAGACAATATTGAGGTAGGCTGGGTCCGCAGGTGCGTAGGAGAGGTCATATTTGCGAGTCCGCAAATGCGAATAGGTGCCCGCAGAAGTGGAAGTGAGGAGGTAAGGCAGTGGCCCTAGGTGCAAGGTCTTTTCCGCACCTGCGTGGTCGCAGATGCGGATATGGAGCGCAGGTGCGAAGTTGGGGGTCTTAATGATTTTCCGCAGGTGCGGAGGTTCTTGCACAAATGCGGCACCGCAGGTCCGCATGTTTAGCCGCATGTGCGAAAGACCTGGGCAGAAACCATAAATAGAACACTTCGCGAATTTTGGTTCATTTCCACCATTTTCAAGTTGGGTTTTGTAGCTTTTTGGAGTGATTTTGAAGGGAGATTCAAGGGTTTTTAGTGAGGTAAGTTGCTTGAGCTCTAATACTCCTATCTATGGTGTTTTCCCATTGTATTATCATCTAATTAGTGGAATTTAGGGGTGAAAATAGGGGTTAGGGCTTGGGATTTTGGAGAGTTTAATTTAAGGATTTGAGGAACCAAATGATGTCGGATTTTGATAAATTTTGTATGTATGGACTTGTGAGTGAATGGGCTTTCTAGTTTTGTAAATTTTTTGGATTTCGAGACGTGGGCCCGGGGGCCGGGTTTGAACCAATTTCAGGTTCCTGGTCTAATTTGGTGGTTTTTCTTGTGAAATTCATTCCTTTAGCGTATATTGATGGTATTGTACTGGTTGTGAATATATTCAGAGAATTTGGAGGTTGAATCGAGGGGCAAAAGCATAGCGGAATAGAGATTTACTCGGTTTGAGGTAAGTAACAATTTTAAATCTGGTCTTGAGGGTATAAAACCCGGAGTTTGGTATAATGTTATTGTTTGGAGGTGGCACCCATGCTAGGTGACTGGCGTGTGGGTGTATGCCATGAGGGATTGAGATTTGGTCCGCCCCGGGAGACTGTGAAGTCTAATAGCCTTTATTTGTGTTTATATGCATTCTTGTCTACTAGAACATGACTGCCTTTCATGTTAGAGATCATGCTTAGGCTATATTCCTACTCATGGTACTTATATTCAGTCATAGTGATTCTTGTACATGTTTACCTCAGTCTCTGTTATTCTTCCCTAATGATATACTGTAATACTTTAATTTGGGCTGTTTTCCCTTTCTTTATTGAGAGCTATGAGACTAGAGAGGTTTATGACTAAGTAAGGCCGAGGGCCTGGTTGTGAGGTATTGTTCTATGACACGTGAGTTGTCCGTGCGGATCCAGATATTTATATTATGGCACGTGAGTTGTCCGTGTAGATTATAGTGCTTGGGCTGTAGGAGCCCCTCCGGAGTCTGTATACACCCCTAGTGAGAGCGGGTACCCATTGAGTGTGAGTGCTGAGGGCTGAGAGGCGAGTGGTTGAGCTGTTGTGGCAAGTTGAGTGACTGTTTCCCTGAGAAGCTGTTCTTATTTTTTCATTTATTGTTGCACTTAGTTTCTTTCTGTCATTATTGTGAAATTCTCTGAAAGATTTTATATCTAGAATACGTGAACTTGAATTGTATAGAATTGATTTGACTTAAACTGCTGGATTCGAAAGTATGTCTACTCTTTGCTGGAAATATTGAAAATGAACTGTATTATATTGCTCGTCACTAATTCTCAGTTCCTTATTTATTTCTGTTACTTGCTGAGTTAGTTGTACTCATGCTACACCCTGCACTTCATGTGCAGATCCAGGTGTGTTTGAGCACGGAGGTCATTGAGTTTGGGCGCGATAGAGTACTAGAGACTACGAGGTAGCTGTCGGCGTCCGCATGACCTTGTCTTTCCTTTTATATTTCTTTATGTCTTGTATTGATACTTAGACACTAGTTGTATTATTTTGGTTATTTAGATGTTCACGACTTAGTGACACCCCGATGTTTTGGGCTGGTTTTCGCATTTTGGTTCTATATTGAGTTCAACTTTGGTTTTATGAAACATTTCTGATATGAAAAAGTTTTAAACACTTTTTTATGGAATTACTGGAGTATTTTGGGAATGTCGGCTTGCCTAGTACCATCGATAGGCGCCATCACGACAGGTTAGGTTTTTGAGTCATGACATCTCGGTACCCGAGTTAATCTAAGTACAACTTTTCACCCTCAAATGGATGGGCAAGCCGAGAGGACAATTCAGACCTTGGAAGACATGTTATGAGCATGTGTTCTTGATTTTAAAGGAAACTGGGATGATCATCTACCTTTGATTGAGTTCGCATATAATAACAGTTATCAAGCAAGCATTTATATGGTCCCATTCGAGGCCCTATATGGGAGGCGATGTCGTTCGCCTATAGGGTGGTTTGAGTTAGGTGAAATGAAGCTTATTGGGCCAAACATAGTACATGATGCCTTGAAAAATGTGAAACTTATTCAGGAACGACTTCGCATAGCTCAAAGCCGACAAAAGTCATACTCAGATATAAGACGCCGCGATCTTGAGTTCAAAGAGGGCGACTATGTATTTTTAAAGGCGTCTCCAATGAAGGGTATCATGAGGTTTGGTAGAAAAAGGAATATTAGCCCAAGAGATATGCTGCCTTATCCAATTCTTAAAAGGATTGGGCTTGTGGTGTATCGACTAGCTTTACTCCCAGAGTTATCTTCTGTGCATCTAGTTTTTCATGTGTCCATGCTGAAACAATACTTTTACAACCCAAGTCATGTACTTGATAGACAAGAGATAGAGATTGATGATACTCTGACATATGAGGAGGTCCCTGTAGCTATAATAGACAGGCATGTTTGTAGACTTCGAACCAAAGACGTTGCTGGAGAAACCACTCAGTCGAGGAAGCTACGTAGGATCCCTAGGAAGCCATGAAGAAAATATATCCTTATTTGTTCGAGATTTTAGGTACATAATTCATTTTAAGCTTTAAAATATTGAGATTGTCAAGTTATGTGATATTTGTGCTTATAATAATGTAAAATGGCTTTGGCGGGTATATGGGTGTGCCTTGATGTTGTATGTTATTGGATTGAGTGGCTAGAGGTGCAAAGTGTTATTGTTATTGGGTTGTTGGACATGTTAAAAATTTATAGTTAGCTCCAGTTACAAGGGAGACTCCGCGGAAACGTTTAGAAATTTGGAAAGTTAATGAAACATCCGAGTCCCTAAGGTTCTAAGAATGCAAGATGCCAAAGCAAATATTTCAATTTCCAGGAATGACTAAAGTTCCACGTTCGAGGAAGAACGGTATTTAAAGGGGGGAAGAATGCAATACCCTATTACTTTTTTGGACTAATTTAACCTGAAAAATACGGAAATAGATCTTATGGATAGAATAACCAAACATTTTCAAAACAAAATGTGATTGGTAGTATATGAGACCATCAATAGCCTTATAAATACCATTTACTTGATTAAGTATTTATATGGGGCCATACTTTAGATAAAGAAAAAAATAAGGGGGCCAACCCCACTTCTTAGTGTTTCCCTACTTTGCAGAATTTAAGGAAAAACTGTTTTAAAAACTCATTAGCTCTAGAATCAATTAAGAAAAAAAAAAAAAAACCTGTACGACCGCGTTAAGGATTAACAAATAAGAACAATTGTTTGATTTGTTGCTTGGGTCATTATTATTTGAGGAGTTTGAGGATACATAATTAGTGTGAGCAGAGAACTAGAAAGCTTGAAAATTTTCTTGTGCAATTCAACCAACAATCAGGTATGTAGATATATAATCTTATCCTGTAGTATGCCTTGGATTACATTAGGATTGATGTGGATATCAAATTCTTTAGAATGATGACAAGAAGTAAATTGAAAGAAATTTGATAAATTCTAAACCCATTTGAGTTACTGCCAAGTTGTTTTTGAGATTTGGAACATGATTAGAAATATTAAAATAATGGAGAGATTATTTTCATCTAGTAATGGACAAAGCTTTAAGGGTAAAGTGAGGATCAGATTTGAATATTTCTAAAGTATTTAGATTATTATTAGGGTCATATGTTTTGGATAGTGTTATTTACGTATGAACATGTAATAATTTTGATACTAAAATATGTTTCTTCCTTTCCATATACCAAGTGGTCAAGGATATGATAGCAGTAAGCTTGATAGAGAAATATATATTTTTTCACATTAAGTGTCGATTATATTGAGTAATTCATGATTTAGAAATTAGTTCAATTGGTAGTGAATTGAACTTGTTAAGTATGTCCTGATGATCTTAGCCAAAATATTTATAGATCGTGAATTGTTGAACTCCCGCGAAGTTTGAAAGGATGAGTTGAAGCTAAGACTTGAGGTGAGTTGAGGTTTACTTTCCTAGTAGGAAATTCCATTATAACTCTTGTTCTACATATGTTAGATAAAACTAAGTTATGTCTTCTCATGATCCAATACTCAGTTCACTTATTCTTATTCAGTACGACATTATATGTGACATGAATACATGCTTATGTGTATTACCAATTGTTATACGCCTTTATTTGTGATATTCGCATTCAGTAGGGAGAAGTGGCCAACCTCCCCCAGCGTGAGTGTCATGATGTCAGGATTACCTACTCCACGCTCGCAGGTGCCAACTATTTGTTGGGGAGATAGGCCGACACTCTCCCCTACATATTTCGAGATGCTCATGTACGCAGGGCCATTATGCGTAACAATTAACTTTTCAAAGTTACGTCTTAAAATATATATAACTCAGTTTTTATTTCAGATATCAGTTATGGGCTCAATTTCTACATTAAGTTTCAGTTTCAGCTTACAGTTTCAGTTTCCAGCTTATTAATTTGTTGTAAAATTTTATATGATTTATAAGATTTTCTGTATATCTCTTCTCTTTCTTATATTTTCCAGAAGGTCTCGCTCCGCCTTTTTAGAAGGTAGCCTATGAGATTTACTGGGTATCCTTTGGTGGTACTTAGCCTGTTTGGGCCTGTTACGTCGTGTGGCAGGTATTGAGGACGCAGGTAACGAGGCACGTGGCTAGAGAAGATATTCTAGATTCAGTTTACAGATTATGTTGATTCACCCCAGCGATAGCGAACCCAATTCAGACTATTATTTATATCTTTTTTTTCTTTACATTTATTTTATTTCCAGGGATGCCCCCGTAGGCTATGTAATTTAATTTTTTTTTTCTTCATATTTTAGAGGCTCATGACTTGTTAGTGGGTCAGTACTAAAATAGTTTGTGATAAATTCTTTATTTATTATTTTTATCAGTCAACTTAAGAACTACTACATGATTAGAATTAATATTTAAGCACGTTAGATTCTTTGCTATTGAACTTGAAGTTTGATACAAATAGTATAGAATTCACTCAACGAGTGGTAAGGGTTGAGTGTCAATCACGTCCCATCCCAGTTTGGGTGCATGACAACGATCTCTTTCGCTGGGTAAGTTTATTTTTTATTTTTTTGAAATTATGAACTTTTTGGTGAATGCATGTTTGGTATTCCTCTCAAAATGCTGAAATGAGATGTTGTGTGGTATGGGTCTATTATATTTGCTGATAATTTTCGACAAAATTCCATATATTTCATAAATCTTCACCCAATAATATTTTATGTAGTGAGATCAGTGAAGATTCTTCTGAGCTATACATTAAGAAAGATGTCAAAAGTGAAAAACGTTGGGATTTATTTGATTCATTTTTAAGATATTACTTCATTTATTTTGTTCATCATTCCTTCTATGTTTGCTCATCTTCTTTGTAATATACATCTGTTTTCATATAGCGCTCCATTTTTTGAGCTTCTTCGTGTCTTTACTGAGTGCTGTATTAGTTCTTATTATTTTATACTAATTGATTTAATAGATAATATAATTTGTCAATTTATAATGTTAAATTGAAAACAACTTAGACAAACTAAAATAGATAAATAGAGTCAATTAAGTACTAGTTCGTCTATTTATTGAAACCAAGGTGTTTTGATGATATCCCCTTGGACAACTTAATTTTGCATTTGAAAGTTATATTTTCTTAACTTTTTGGTCGGCTGAAATTTCCATAATCTTGAAATGAATTGTTTCTTAGTCTTATTAGTTCATAAATGTATAGGTTCCAGCCTTGTCATTCCTTATGTAAAGTATTTCATGACTTTGTCATTCCTTTTATCTTTAGAGATATACTCGAAAAGAACTCCTGGTTGTGTTATATACTTAGGAGACGTGGTTAGTGGTTGTAATTGTCATAATATATTTTTCCACTTCTATGTCATCCATTGTACTATTAGCATTAGATTATGAGAATTGTCAAAGTGATCTTGTGTTTTTTCGTGTAATAACAAGGACGAGGTTCTTAAACAACCAAGGAGGGGTTTCAAGGCACTTAGTATTTTGCTTTTTTGGGATGTATATGCATACAATGACAATGAAGTATTATGCATTATATATGTAATTCGCATTTTAGTAATGGAAGTGTTTAATATACAGCTTAAAAATTCTTTTGGTGTTTGTTAAATACTATTGGATGCGTTAATATAATTTTGGTCATTACAGTTGTTGAATTAAATAGGTTTCATTGGTGATAAAATCTTATTCAGAAAAGTATTTGTTGCAATATTGAAGTTGCCACTGATTGTTTAATAGTTTTTGTAGCATTTATCATCGCCACTAAATGTCATTCTCCAGTAGCGAGTTTAGATTCGTCACTGATGGTTTAATGCTTTTTGTGGTGACTTTCAATTGCTACTAAAAGCCACTCTCTAGTAGCGATATAAGAGTTGTCACTGACAGTTAAGTGTTTTTGTGGCGAAATCAACTGCTACTAAAAGTAACTCTCCAGTAATGATATGAGAGTTGCTGGTAATAACTAATTGTTTTTGTGGCGACTTCAGTTGCTACTGAAAGCAACTCTCTACTAACGATAAAATAGCTGCCACTGATAGTTATTTATTTTTGTGGCGACAATTGTCGCTCTAAATGTCACTCTTCAGTGGCCACTTGTCCCTGAATCAGTTTGGTGGAACTACCTTTTGTGGCGATTTGGTTTACCTTTTGTAGCGATAATGTCACAATCCAAAAATCTAACCATGGTCGTGATGGCGCCTATCGTATTATAAGGCAAGCCTATTTTCCAAAATATTACTACTAAACCGATTATAAGAATTTAATAAAATATTTCAACATTTGAATTTCTCATAAACTAAATCAACTTTAAATATAATTTTAGAAATACGGAAACGAGCCCCAAACATCGGGGTGTCACTAAGACATGAGCGTCTAAATCTGCGAACTAAGAAATGAAACTGTCTAACTGTTAATACAATCCAAAAGAAGAAATGATAAAAGGAGTAACAAGGTCCTGCGGACGCTAGCAACTACCTTGCAATCTCCACAGATAGCCGGTCTGAAATCAACGATTGCCGCGCTCTAACTCACCTGAATCTGCACATAAAGTGCAGGGTGTAGCATGAGTACAACCACCTCAGCAAGTAACAAAAATAACTAAGGAACTGATCAATAGTGACAAGCTAAGTAAAACAGTCCAATTATTTATTTTCACAATTTAAAAATAAACAGAATTAAACAGGTAAATTCCATAACTCAGTAAATGCCACAAGGAAGTTTAACAGATAAATGCAGCAACAACACAAATAAATATCACCTCACAGCAGTTTCACTCTATCACTCATCACTCGCACTCAGCACTCAATACTCAAAACACTCAACACTCTACGCTCACTGGAGGTGTGTACAGACTCCGAAGGGGCTCCCAAAGCCCAAGCGCTAAGCACGGACAACTCACGTGCCATCATATCAATACCTAGGTCCGTACGATCAACTCACGTGTTACGCGGACCACTCACGCGCTATGGTATCAATACCTAAACCCGCACGGTCAACTCACGTGCTACGCGGATAA